CATTGCCGGACACGGAAAAAAGACAAAAGACAAAAAAAAAAAAAAAAGACAAAAAGAAAAAAAAAAAAAAAAAAAAAAAACATTGAATTTTGAAACCTGCCCTCATTCTAAAATCTTCAGTGTTTTGAAGGACCCCATCTATTAGCATTGTATTATTTTCATGCTGCCCTTTTCAGCGAGCCAGGACCCATCTTCTTTGTCATAGACTTTTCTTATAAAAGGTTGCATAATATGCCAGAAAGATTTAAAAAGTGATACAAGTTAGTGCTACAAGTGAGTTGTAAGAGTTTAATGACTAAGCAAAACTTCACTACCAGATTTTGATTGCTTGTTTTGCAGTGTTTGGGAATCACCATTTTCCTAGATCTTGCATTTTTGTATAGGTATAGATAAGGGCTGGCAGCTGTAGAACAGGAGATATGCTGTAGTGGTTTGAACTGAAGTATCTGGAATCTCACTGACTCGTGTGTCATCAAAGCTATACCAGGCCTGGGTAACTGAGTTCTTGCAGAAAGCAGTGTAGTGGCCACCATCCAGATCACCAAAGTGGTTCTAGGGAAAGAAGGAGTGTCAGACTTAGTATACACATGCCAGTATTCTAACTACTGGAACAAAAAAAGTAGGGCCAAGAAATACTTAATTTATCCCTTATACTAAATTAAAAGGAAATAATTTTGTTAAGTCATACATACAGCTTGACTTGTGTGTATTATTTTTCATTTCATTGAAACTGCTTATATGTTGTGCTCATTGACTAACAGTATCTGTGAAGTAGAGTTTGGCAGCATCTGATTAATATTTATCAGTTAATACTTACTGAACACTTTAATACATTGACTATTAAGAATTACAGGAAATCTTTTTTTTTTTTTTTTTTAAGATGACCAGTAAGGGGATCTTAACCCTTGACTTGGTGTTGTCAGCACCACGCTCTCCCAAGTGAGCCACGGGCTGGCCCTACAGGAAATATTTTAAAGTAAGAAGTCATTTTTCCTAAATGAACTTGAAGGCTAAGACATGAAAAAGACATTTAACATTGGAATAGGACATCTAAACAGCTGCATTTTGCTGTAGCACACTTTGAGGGGTGCAGCAACAACCCTTCAGTCATTTAGGTCCAAAGAAAGAACCTGGCTTATTCTATTTTTTCCATGGCTTTCCTAACCCAGTAAAGGATTGTTTGAAACAAAGACTTTGGAGAACCTTACTTCCAAGAAGGTGGTATAATACAGAAGGGGTCAGCAAACCATGGCCCATGGGCCAAATCCAGCCTGTTTTTGCACGGCCTATGAGTTAAGAATGGATTTTATGTTTTTATATGGTTGAAAAGAATCCAAAGAATAGTACTATTTTGTCACATGTGAAAATTATATGAAATTCAAATTTCAGTGTTTTTAAATAAAATCTTATGGGAACACAGCCATGCTCATTTGTTTACATTTTTCAGTGGCTGCTTTAATGCTACAACAGTAACATTGAATAGTTGCAACAGAGACCATATGACCCACAAAGCCTAAAATATTTACTGTCTGGCTTTTTACAGAATAAGTTTGCTGACCCATGGTGTGGAGGGAAGATGGATTTTTATAGTCTATTCCAATTGTGAATTCAGGTATGACACTGCACAGTGACCTTAGAGAAATTATTTAACCTTTCTGAGCTTTCAGATACTCCACATCTGTTAACATGGGGTGATAAGACTTGTCTTACACAGCTCTTATCAGATATTTCATGTATTACAGAGCTAGCACAGAGGAGGGATTTATTAAAATGTTCTCTCAGACCTTTATTGGTAGAAATTCTCCATTGCATCCATAAAAGCCAGAAACAATTCATACAGCTTCAAAATGATGAAGGAAAATAACTGTTAACCTAGAAGTTGATTTCTAGTCAAACTATCAGGCAAGAGTGAGGGCTAGCTGGTTAGCTCAGTTGGTTAGAGCACAGTGTTGTCACAAAGGTCAAGGGTTTGGATCCCCTCACCAGCCAGCTGCCAAGAAAAAAAAAAACAACCAAGAATGAAAATGAACTAAAGACTTTCTCAATTAAAGACAGATTTCAGGATAAAAAACCCTAACTGAAAAGTCTACTGAAATATGTGCCACATGAATAATGAAGGAAGAAGTGACACAGAAGACAATAGCAAGAAAAGATTGATAAAGATCCTGGCAAATGTAAATCAACATGAACTGTATAAAACATCATGATAAATAATGTCTGCTTTGGAGGCATAAAAAAACAAAACCAAAATGCTGGAAAACAATGTCAGTAGTTTAGTGATCAGAATTAACAGTGTTCTAAGATCCTTCCATTTGTATGGGAGGAGAGTACAGGGATCTTGATTAACTTTAGGCTTTAAGTATGGTAGCTGTAGTTTTCATTGTAATTGCTAAAGAATCCAAATGTGTAACTTCCAAAGTTGTAGCGAGCTTTATCAATTTTGTAGTAGGCAAGAAAAATGGAGGATAGGGGGAGGTGACTAGAGAAATCAGGTTAACATAAGGCAAAAAGATGACAAAAATACATCCAGATTTATTATTAGTTGAAATATATGGAAATGTACTAAACTTACCAAAGACTGGCTGGATTTTAAAAATCCAGTTCTATACACTATATAACATTTAAAACTTGGAAAATGTTGAATTTAAAGAGATGGGAAAAAGATGTAGTAGGCAGATCTACCAAGAGAAAGTGGGAGTAGCTATATAAATGGCTAAAATGAACTTTAAGACAAAAGGCATTGTAAAAGATAGGAACAGTCACTTTATAATGAAAAAAGGTTTAAGTCACCAAGAGGTTATAAATCTAAACTGTTACACAACTAATCAAATAGATTTATAAAAAGAAATGACAGAACTATAGGGAAATTTTGACAAGTCTACCATCATAATGGAAGATTTCAACACATTTCTTCCAACTATTGATCAAACAGACAAAAAGATTAGTATTGATATAGCTTTGAATAGCACGTGCTTAACTTAAATGACATGAGGAATCTGTCTCCTAAAATAGAAATACACAAGTCTCAACTATAAAAGAGTTAGTTTCATACAGACCACAATACAATAAAATCAGCAGTCAATACAAAAAGATACCAGCACCTCCCAAAATCCCCATATTTTTGGAAATTATACACTTCTAAATAACTTTGTGAATAAGAAATTATAATGTAAATTTAAAATACTTAGAAATGAACAATAATGAAAATAGTATATCAAGATATGGAATGCAGTGATGTTTGAGAATGTCTTTAAAATAATATGGTGCAGGAAAAGGAGTGGGTCAGTATTATAGGTGAGTTGATAATTGTTGAAGTTGGTTGATGGGTATATGGGGCTTCATTATACTTTCCTCTCTGTATATGTTTGAAATGTTCTATAATAAAAATGTGGTAGAAAGTGAAAATTTTATCTAGAGAGACATTTGTAGTTTTAAATGCTTAAATTTGAAAGGACGCACTGAATGTTAATGAACTAAGCACCCAGTTGAAAACATTAAAACATAAGAGAATAAATCCACAGAAAATAGAGGGAAAGAGATTAAAAAAAAGAGAGAGAAATAATTAATAAAGTAGAAAACAAAGGTATAATAGGAAGGATCAAAAGGGCAAAATTTGGTCTTCTAAGAAGACTTAAAATAATTTTTTGACATCAGTAATAAGATTGATCAAGAGAAAAAGAGACAAGGTAATGATAAATAAACAAGTAAATAAAATTAGAAGTGAAAAAAGATGTTATAGCTACAGATTCAGCAGAAAGTTAAAAAACATTTTTAATACCCTGAAAAATTTATGCCAGCAAACTGAGAACTTAGATGAAATAGATAAATATCCAGAAAATAATAAGTTACCAAAACTGACTGAAGAAGAAATACAAAGCCTGAATAGACCTTACAAACATTAAAGAAATTGAATCAGTAGTTAAAAATCTTCCCTCAAAGGGAACACCCGGCCCAGATGGTGAGCTCTATCAAACCTTCAAGAGACCTTTCATTACAGACTTACACAAACTTCTGTGTAAAAGAAAAGGAGGAAAAGCTCCCTAAATCTTTTGAGGTCAGTATAACCTTGATACCCAAATCAGACAAAGACGGTATTAAGAAAAGCACATATCATTCTCATTCAAGAAAACAGATGCAAAAATCTTAAAATGTAGTAAATCAAATACACAATGTGTATCTAAGACAATAAATAACAACTGAATTATATTTATCCCAGCAATGCAAAGGTAGTAAAAGTAGAAAATCTATAAACGTAGTTGACTATATTAACCGGTTAAAAGAGGTTCAGGTGAGCCATAACATCTTGATTATTGTGGAAAAAATATTTAATAAAATTCAACACTTTTGAAAACACATAAACACTCTTAGCAAACCTGGAAAGAAGGAAGTCCACAATCAAAAAGTGTAGCTACTAAAAACTTACAGGCATCATTCTTGATGATTCCCTTTAAAACCAAGAACAAGAAGATACCCACTATTACCATCTTCTATTCAACACATAGTGAAGGTCCTAGCCAGATCAGTAAGACAAGAAAAATAACAAATATAGTATTGGAAAGAAAAAAACAAAAATGACACATATAAAGAGATGCAGACAAATTATTTGAAATGATGAGAATTGAACAAGGTGTCTAGGTATGGTAAAGCAAAAATTGACTTCCTCCCCAGTGTGACATTCATTTGGGACCCACGTGGGTTCAGCATGTGTACTAAGAAGTGTTATTTCTCTTGGGGGCCCATCTACCCCAGCCACGGCATGATGTTAATCTGAAATGATTGCACGATGTTCAGATTCTGTAAGTCCAAATGTCATAACTTTAAAAAGAAGCACAATCTTCACAAGATCATACAGACTAAAGCATTCCAGAAAGCAGCTGGTGAAGAGCTCACTGCAATGGATAATTCATTTGAATCTGAAAAATGCAGACATGAGCCTGTCAAATACCAGCAAGAGCTATAGAATAAAACTATTGATGGAATAAAGAGAGTTGAAGAGATCAAACAAATGCCAGCTAAATTTATAATGAACAGATTGAAGAAAATAAAGAGCTACAGAAAGTTCAGGCAATCAAAGATGTCAAGCAAAATATCCATCCTATCCAGGCCCCTTTTCCAGGCAAAGGAAAGTAGCTGGAAGAGAAGATGGTACAGCAATTACAACAGGATGTGGACATGGAAGATGTTTCTTAAAAACCTCACTGTCTGTAGCCATTTCTATATGTACATTTGAAAATCTCCTTTAGAGACATAAAACGTCTACATTATTTTTTACATGAGGTCACACAAATGAAGGTGATTAAAAATATCTCTCTCCTGCATTGCTTTCTGCAACATATCAGATATTATGGATGTTAGATTGCATCTCAATGTTATTGCATCTCAATGAAGAAATGTAACTGGAGGAGGTATTGTAGAACCTTTCTAGCACTTATGAGAGGTAAATTAACACCAATTGCTAAACATAGAAACTGGATAAATTTCAATATTCATTTAGAAATTAATTTTATGATGCTGTCCTAAGTATTAAAATACAGGTTATACTTAAATCATTC